CAATAAAATCGATAAACGAAATTCTTATTATATTTGATAAATAAATTAATATTCTTTTACAGAATTTTTATAGAATTTATTGTGTGTATTAATAAATAATACAAATAAAATAATAGCTGTTAAATAAATGTTATTTTTATTATTTGAAGTTTTTATTATTTAAAATTTTATATCTAAAAGTATTTATAAAAATTCGTTACTATTCGTGAAAGATTTATAGATAAAAGTACGAAATATATTTTTTCTGCATAGTTTCTGTTTAAAGCTTAATTGAAACTTTTATCTCAAAAGTTTCAACACAAAAAAGATTTATTTCAAATTTTTTGTTATTCAAATCTTATATTTTATGAAAAAAATTAAATAAAGTATTGTGTTATTAATAAATTTTAATAATACATTAGTAAAAAGCATTAATGAAATATTAATTTCAATGAAAATTTTATAAAAATTTTATTAAGCACGATAAAAAGTTTTAAAATTATTCCGATTAAAGAAGATTAAAAGTGTATTTTATTTTAAATTACTATATTTTATTTTATTTTCTTTAATTTCGAAAATGTGCATTATTTGCGTATAAAAATTCTCTTTGTAAAGAAATATTTATTTTAATCGGAAAATATCTCTTTCTGTCTCTATATCCAGGATTATTGAAAGACCGAAAAATATCTCTATTATTATACGCGTAACGTTTACAGATTCATAAAACAAAATTCCATAAAATTGAAATGGTAGTAGTCTCTGATATTCCATATAAATAATACTTCCTCCTTTTCTGTTAAATAACATTATAACTTGAGGATTGATTTTAATATGCCTTGAATGGCGAATGGCAAAATTGCACGATCGCAGAATAAGTTTCGTCTGGGAGTCAAAAGTTGAAGAAAAATTAGATGCATGGGTTAAAAGAAAATGAATAAATGTCTCGATTCCTTCCTCAGTTTTCGCTCCGAAAAATACCTGAGGGAGCAATGAATGGAAGAACGTATCTACGATACGAGTGGATACCTTTCAAAAGGACTCATGGGAGAATGAAGCTTATTCGTCATCCTGTCTGCCGATAGGTAGTACCAACTATCGCCATTGCGCTACCTAACACATCCTGGAGATCCTCGAGGGTGAATTCTTTCAATAACTAGAATAAAAATATATTGTCATCCTCCGAAAGAAACGAATTTACTATGCATATGCTTGGAGCAATGAGTTCATAAATTAGGACAATAATATATCCACGTAATAAACACACCTGCTAATCTTCATCAATCAAATATTTTTGCAAATATAATTTGCCTATAACAGGGCTCGGCAAGATTTGCTCTTCTTAGCCAATTTTCGACTTGGCTCCGCATTCTGCTATTCCCCTCATTTCTCGCCCTGTGCTCAGTCCAAATGCCACTCTACATTTAGTAGCATATGACGCTCGTAGACATGAGGTCCACTCGCTTTGGGTGCTCACGCTGTAAACTTCATTTTATTTTTTTTGTTTATTACATAACTAAGATAGAATGAAGCAACGTGTAAGATTGAGCGCTAATGCGTTGCTTCATTCTATCTTAGTTATATAATGAACGAAAAAAAAAATATAGAATAAAGTTTACAGCGTGAGCGTCCAAAGCGGGTAAACCTCATATCTACGAGCGTCATACGCTTCTAAACGTCGAGTGGCATTTGGACTACACGCGGGGCAAGAGGTGAGGAGAATAGCGGAAGGAGGAACCAAGTTGAAAATCGGAGAAATTAAAACGTATAGCTATTAATTTTAAGAATAAATTATCTATATATGTCATCTTTATATGCTCGTTCATTTGGCTTTTATTTGTTTCTTTCTATTGCTTAGCAAAAACGAGCAGGAGTATCATCATTATCATGAATTAGAATAAAAAGATATTTCACTGCAAAAACGAAATGATAAAACATGTATCTACTTGGCCAAAGTACAAATAGAAACAGAATCGTAAATAACCAATCGCAATTGTTTCTCGTCTCATTAATCTGTGATTTTTATTAAAATTTATCATTTCCAGGCAAAGGACAGGTAAACGAAAAGTCAGAATAGATCGCAAAATGCCTCTTCAGAAAATAAATTGCTTGAATAATGGAAAAGAATCGCTTGAGCCGGGCTTACGCATTTCTCTGATCTCCTCCTCCCCTTTTCATCAAGACTTTTAGCGAACAAAACCAACAGAACTATCCTATCGCGTGTCACTCGCGCATAGCTAATTTTACTTGCGCTCTCCTTTTTTCGCAACTTTATGCAATAAAATTTTTTTCGAGTTTTCTCTGACTTGAAAGTTTATTTTAGTCTTGTTAAAGACATAGACACATTCTAATTTCCTAGAAAAATTAACTTGTAACAAATATTACCCTGTGGTAATATTTATTCGCAATAAGCTCTTTACAGTACTTTAAGATGTTTATTAGCATCATCATTAAATTGACGATCAATTTAATTTATGATATTTCAGTTTTAGTTTATGATTGTGTTTTAAGTCCGACAGTAATTAGCGGGTAGTTTATATAAATGAAAGATTTAGAATTTATGCATATGTAAGTAAATAAATAGAGAAAAATCAAATATGATCTTGGTGCCTAATATTTATATGTAAATTTTGTACTTCCACACACAATATTTAAATATTGTACTTCCAATATTTAAAATTTATATATAAATTAAATATTAGACACTATATATATATAAGACCTAATCTCGACCGTATTTAATCCTTTTTTACTTATTTGAAATAAGTAAAAAAGAATTATTATACCTTATAAAGAAGTATTACCTTTGTTTTAAAAAAAGAACAAAAGTGTTATATGCAAGAATTTGATTACTAATGTTTTACGTATGTATCTACAACTAATCCTCAATTTAACACGTCACTCAATCTGTAACAAGATTTACACACACATGTGAAAACATTTTCTCTATTTATCCATCAGCACCTCGAGAATCTCTCTCGTACAGCTTCGTGCCTGAAGCATCCACAAACGAATGAAAACGAGACGGAAGTCACGCTAAGAATCCGTCACGACTTGCAAGAGAAAAAAAGCAGAGGCACAACTATGGCAAAGCCTGGAGAATAAGAAAGTCGAGAAGGAATCCTAAGACGTTCAGTTTATCACGTTGCCAGTTTAACAAAGCATTCTCGTTTAACGGAGATAACGTTCACCGCGCAGGAAAGAAATCGGAATTCGTGCGACAACTTGACTCCTAACAAGGATGACTCTTCCGTGCGAATCTAGCGAATTTCAATTTTTATCGTTTTTCTATTTTTAGTTTTATGAGGTTGTGTTATATAGATATTGTTTTTATAGTTGTAAAACGCACATGCACACATTTAAAAAAATTATTTTTTTATCTTTTTTGTTATCTATCGTTAATATTTTATTTATAATGATTTGATTATAATTATGCGCAATCTTTTAATATAATCATCAATCATCGCACACAGAGATATAAGCTCTTAACTTCAATCTCGATATGATATATTTAGTTTGTTTTCGAAAAATGATTTTTTTTTTCGAAACTTCTGTTTACTTTATTATTTATAACTTTTTTCACTAATAAAGATAATTTCCGTGATATTGTTGTGCACGAGAATAAAGAAAAATCTAAGATTTTAAGTGAAAACTGTGCAATAATTGAGTAAACGTAATATTAAAATGTAAATTAGGATAAGATAAGCTGTTATATTTAGGATATAAAAAATAAAGTAATGTAGATGTAGGTTTAGGTTTAAGTAAAGAGTAACATTTACACGGTGGCTGCCAAAAGTTTCCGACCAATGAGTAATTTTGTATTACTGCTCAGATAAAGAATTTCTACAAATAAAAATTTAATATATATAGTATATAATATATTTAATAACATCTCTAAAATATTATAATTTTTAAGTATAGATAACAAGAATTTTATTAACTTACAATATAATTGAAAAACAGATTGACAAAAATTATCATAAAAATGTTCTAAAATTTTTGGCCACTATAGCCAGTGGATTTTAGTTAGCCATTAATTAGAAGATATTAATGGATGTGTGTTTAAAAAATTGTAAACCAAGTCCCTTTTTGGCAATATAAGCTGTAATAAAATTTTTTTATTTAAAAGTTATAAGCAATCAAAAGTTGAGTATGCCAATGTGTTGCCCACGTGACAGAATGGTATATAGTATAAGGCATTAAAGGGTTAATTTTACCAACATAAAGACTTAACACAAATTTTATTTTACCCATTTTGTTGGTTGTTTTGAGAATGTTTTGTTAGCTTTAAAATATTGCTTCATGTTCCGCGAGTAATACGACTTGCGAGATATCGCTACATAAATCTCAGATACAATTGCTGTCTTTTAAACGTATTGATTGGCGACTGCAGCGCTAGGAAATCCGACTTTTCGATTTATTCTATGGGCCACTGCCCCTCGCATTGGCATTCTTCTCGAGAAGAGAGCAGCTTCGAAAGTATTCGTTCTGAAACTCAATCCGTGCAATAAGTGTCACTGACCTAACGTGCGCGCACTATAAAACTAGTCCTCCCATTCCACTACTAACGGCAAATTTAATTCGAAAAGCAACCCGATAGATACTGTAATAAACTTTCGGTTCGTACTACTTTAATTTTAAGAAAGCAATAGCAATGAACAAGAGATACTCTTTCTTCCAATGGTTCGAAAAATTTATTACAGCCATAATCATAAATTTGCGAAAAGAAAATTTTATAAGGAGAAAATTTATATGGAGAACTGTGTGATAATATATACATTAAATCACCCTCGAGCGGATTCCGTGAATCTCTGGGAGTCTATGTAATCCGGATTAACGTTTAGTTCATCACAAGAATATGCAAAAGATGTACCAGGAGACATGCCTTTCAACGTTAACGCGAAGTCCGAGAGATCTTTTACAGTACTTTAATCCGCGGTGCCTCGATGCCATTATCGTGAGAGCGGACGTGTCCACGAGTATCGGAACTATTTAACGTCGCACTTTAACATGAAACTTTCCAGAGTGTCGTGTTGGAGATGAATCGACTTGGGATGATGGTGGACCTCTCTCATGTCTCGGTGCCCACGATGCTGGCAGCTATGACGACGTCGAGGGCGCCAGTGATTTTCAGTCACAGCAGCGCTCACGCTCTTTGCAATTCCTCGCGAAATGTGCCTGACCACGCGCTGCGACTTTTGGTAAGCTCGGCAACGAAATAGAAAGTAACGAATACTATAATGTATTCATTCAAAGCAATTTTATATAACGTGATGACTGCACAAAAAGAACGATTTTATTAAAACTTTACAAAAATTTAATAATGATCAATTTAATACTGACCAATCACTGAAAAACAGTAATTAATTATTTATTGTAAGTATCAAAAACAATGTTATTCAGTGCTTTTCTCACCCTAAATAAATAATTAATGTCTTTCAGTAATAAATTGACTAGTATTAACTCTTTGCATTCGACGCATTTTTCATTTGGAGGAGAACTGGTAATTTGAGACTGTTTTGATAGAATTTGACGAATTTCTTACAGCTGTGACATAAAATGAAATATATTAGGTGTTGAACTTAATTCCTGCGGCTCGCTTAACTTAAAACAATGTTCCACATCTTTAAAAAATCTAAAAAAAATTTTTGTAATGTAATATGCTAAAAAGTTTGACACACTTTTTAGCATATTACATTAAAAAAATTTTTTTTTAGATTTTTTAAAGGTGTGGAACATTGTTTTAAATTAAGCGAGTGGCAGGAATTAAGTTCAACACCTAATACATAAATTAATGTTATAAAACTATTATATTTTTATGTTTAGCCGAAATTAAACATAAACAGTCATTGTCGCCCAAATTAAACGTAACAATCATTGTCACCTCTCACTCACCACTGGAATTGCATCAAACCAATTGAAAGTTGCCATTCGAATATAAATTGCATTAGATTATTTCTATAAGTAAGTATCTCTATAAGGAAGATTTCTAAAAATTTAGTTACATATAAATCTGAAAATAATTTTGTTAAACTATTACAATAACTACTATAGGATGCTTAAGCTACTAAAATATCAAAATTTTTTTACAGCATTGCTCATCGTGCTTTCTACATAAATATGTTGATGGTTCAACAAAAATTATTTTCAAATCTGCACGTAGCTAAATTTTTTAATATTTCAGGAAAATTATTATTCTTTCTATGGAAATTTATAATCGCGCCTTATGATTATATAAACTCTAAATACTATATAAACTCTATAAACTCTTTTAAATTATGTTAATATGAGAGAGAGATATATATAATTATGATTTTATATTAAGTATATTATAAACGTTTATTCTCCGTTCAAATAAATAAATAACGTTTTTATGTTTTACTTAATTCAACGAATACATTAAGAGGAATACAAATACTTTGTTTACAGGCGCAGACCGGTGGTATAGTTATGGTATCCTTCTATCCCCATTTTATCAGCTGTGGCGAAAAATCGACTCTTGAGGATGTAGCAGGTAAGCATTTACTGATTAGCATTGTTTTTTGATCATTAACAGCGATCACGAAACTTATATCCGTAAAAAGGGATATTATACCATCCACATCCACTTGTTTGCCACTCGTAACGTATTAAACAAAATTCCGTGAAATTCACTCAATTGCAGACAAGCACTATACGTGCTTATATGGATTTAAAGCTCGATATTTGTTTACTGAAGTGCGCCGTTATCTCGAATTTTTTAAACAGCACAATGTAGACGTAATACAATTCAATATCTGATAAGTTCAACCATTTTTTGTATTTACCTATATTTTTTTGTGTTTTTTCCGAAATAAAAAATAAATATGGCATTGATTAAAATAATTTTTTCATTGATATAACATTTGGCATGCATAGAAGGAATGATTTTTACTAAAGAATATGCTTTTACTTTTTGTGGCTTTAATCACGATGATCGTTTAATTAGATCATCTAATTATTATAGAATCACGAAATACGTCCCCAATTTGGATTGATGCAACTACTTTACAGTAAATTAAAGATATAATGCGACTAATAAATGTATACTATCACAGTCGTACATTTTTGCTGAAAAATGACATTACCGACTTAACCTTGACGTTATTTCATCTCTTCTGTTCATTTCTACCAATGTAGATTAACTTTAATCTTGGATTAACTTATTTTTTATCTTTCTTCAGTTCTAAGAATGAAAAAGATAAAAAGTAAATTAAACCGAGATTAAAGTTAATCTACATTGGTAGAAATGGACATAATTAGAGAATCTCTAATCTTCTCCACACACTCTAACATAAGATAACTAATTAAGAGAGAAATAAAAATCGCGTTCAATTAGCTCGTTCTGTTTTTCACTAAAGTGTTTGTCACTATAAAGCCGCGGCTTTCAACGTCGCTATTGTAAAGGGAACATCCCAAGCGTTTCTCTGCTGAAGCGTGTAAATGAGTTTTCGCGTTAGGTGCCAATTCTCGCGGGTTGTTATCATATTTGCATTATTACAGGATGGCTCAAAGTTCCGAAGATATTAACATTTCATACCGTGCCGGTAATATAAATAGTTATGTGTGTGCGTTATACAATTAGATATGTACGAATCATGGGAATGGGATTAATTAATCTAGCACATAGCTTCGAGAAATTCTATGTGGAATTAAATTGAAACTTGAAATATATAACATTCCTTTGCTAATTAAGTTGCACTCTTATATAACATTTCTTATTTACAACGCGGATTAATTTGAATTATTAAATATAAATATATTAAAATAAAAATTAAATTTTGCACAGGGTGACATTTTCCATAGCATTTAATATAATGTAGTATACTACACTTTATAAAGTTAACTGTACATCTTTCCGCAACGAGCGAGATCGATCGTGAAACCAAAGCCATCGTGTGTGGGGCGAAACCCGTGAAACCCGTAATCTAAAGTTCACACTTTCCACGGCCAAACCGCGGTTCGGAGTGCATCCTGTGAAAATCGAGTGTTTCTGCAGGCAAACGTGACAAAAAAGTCCGTGTCGTGGGAGTAGCCAATTCCGTTTGTGGTATTGCCAAGCGGTGACAGTTTTTTGTAGACGCGAATGTGAATTCTGATCCGAAAAGGGCGAATCATTCTCACTTTCTTCTCCGTGGAATTTCGCGGTAGAAGAATTACGCGTAACAATTATTCGTAATGCATAATCCCCGTGTAGATAATAAACGCGAGATAATAAGTTCTTTAATTTCGCCCACTTTTTATCCGCTAATCTCTGAAATCTCTCGTGCAAAATTGGTCTCGATTCAGTACCCCAGAAAATTTGTAGTTTTCCTAGGATCGTAATAATCTCCATGTCCCCATTACCCGGTGTTTTCACATATACTTTTTACAAAAATAAGCGGATGTGGCGTCCAGTAATATTGCACTGTGATATATAATAGGTACATCTCGGATTATTACGATTGTAGATTTCACGATATTGTATATATGAATCGAATGCTACAACGCTGATATTACATGAATTGTTATCTCTATTCTTAATAAGTGTCGGTGTCGTTACATTGTACAGATTTTATATATGATAAAAAAGCTGCAAAATAATAATATGTATAACAACATTGACACTATCGTTAAGAGTTACAGAATAAGAGCTTGCTGTGTATTACATGGGATTGTGGATGTTTTAGTCCTCACTCTAAAGATTCCATACTCGATTGAAGATTCGTCATCTTATAAGGAAAATTTCTCGCAGAGTGAAAAGAAAAAACTAGTAAATGTAATGCTATTAATGTCAAATCATTGATAATACTTTTAAAGCTTCCATGGATGTCTTTTTCAAGGAAAAATGCTTCAAAGCAGCTACGCGGTTTATTTTATAAGGAAAGTTCTCTAAAGCGTGTAATAAAGCACATAAAAACACTAAATGTGATGCTATTAATGTCAATAAATTATTGATAATACTTTTGAAGCTTCCATGGATGTCTTTTTAAGAAAAGAGAACCTTAAAGTCGCTACGCGGTTTATTTTATAAGAAAAGTTTTCTAAAATGTGTAAAAAAGACACACAAAAGCACTGAATGTAATGATATTAATGTCAAATTATTGATAATACTTTTGATGCTTCCACGGATATTTTCTTCGTGGAAAAGAAGCTTTAAAGAAGCTACGCGATTTGCGGGTTAATTCCATTAATTTCAGAACAAGAAACAACCTGATACAGTATCATTATTTTTACAAAGCGTGGGCATTTAACAATATATCAAGACACGGAAATAATGTCAAATTATATACAATATATATATTATTAAAATATATATATAGATATTATAATTAGACTCAGTTGAATAAATCTATGTATATGAAGATGCCTTTCCGAGTCAAACACTGGTAGTTCGTGTGTAAATTAATTTATTCGTTATAATTTCGTTACCAAACGTTTCGATCCTTGCTTCGGATCCTTATCAATGTATACAATTCGACAACATATCATTGTTCTTCCCGGAACGCTAATTACAAATATATATATATATATACTTTAATTATTAAATGTTTAAAAAAGATATTTAACATAATGAAAAATTCGATAATATATTATTAACCCATTAAGGACCAAGACAAATTTTTTTTGTCAAAATTTGAAATCCTAATAGCAAGCTACTATGCACTTAAGGAGTCTACTTTTGCCAAAAATCTTCACCCTGGGGTTGGTCGTTTAGGCAGAGGGAGGGGGGGGGGGATCGATTTTGCGACCATTGGTCCAAGTTTGATCCCAAAGTTGACCTTATTTTTTTAGGCGAAAAATCGACCAGTGGTCCTTAATGCGTTAATGCGCACTCACAGTAATTTTTCTTGTAAAATAGCAAATATTCAATTGATGACATCCACTGAATCTAATAATACTGCGCTGATATTTAAGTAGACACAGAATCATAATTAAAAGTCATAATGATATTATAAGTTCATCACGACGTCATTTGATATTTAAAAATGAACTTATAAGTGACAATTAATTTCTCATGCTAATGTCTTTATAATATTATTATGACTATGTTCTACTTGGGTAATATGGAGAAATGCCAAGAAAATCTTAAATGATATCACTTTTTAGTTTACACTTCTCACAATCCACATCATATTGATTCAATAAAAATAAAGATACCACTTCATACGCACTCTCTTAGATCACTTCTTAGCAACACGCATTCCAGTATTATTATATTTCAATGTATTGAGAGAAATGTTTGATATAAATAACTATTATTTTGTTGATATATGAATTACGAAAACTTTTTTATTTTTAAAATAAAAAATTGTTATGGTAACTGAATTTTGGTTAGAATGATGTTAGAATCAAATTAAAAAATTTTAATTGAGAAACAACACAATTTGTAAATAAAAAAAAAGAAAGTTTCTGTAATTCGAACAAAATAAAAGTTATTTATACTAAATATTTCTATTAGTATGGAAATACCCTAGTAATGCCAATCAGCAATCCACGTACACTTACATCAACGACCGCGACAATAAAATGTCATTCAAAATGCAGTAAGTACACTTGCGTCTCGAATATCGTGCAACAAAAGTAATAAAGAGCAAATGATAATTGCTGGTCCGGACGGCCGCACATCGGACGTAGCATAATCGAGCGTAACCGGGTGCCTGAATAATCACTTCCTTCCGCAGGCAGCATCTCTAATTGCTTTATATCGACGGCCACCGAGCCACGGAGAAAATTATGTCCGCCGAGGGAGAGAGCGGGGAAGAAAATTATTTGTGCGGAACGGGAAGTGCGTTAGACAGCGGACTCGCAATGATAATTTCACGAATTGTAATGCATTTCTCTCTCCCATGTGGCCATTGGCACCAATATTACACTGATGATTGATTCGAGCGCTCTCGCCACACTCGCCCTTTTCCCTCATCCTATCTTGTTTCCCTTTCTAGCTGGATCCCATGATGATCACCTCATCACAGGCGCAACAATTGCCCCCGGTTAATAATAACAGCTGGCGAGTCGCACTATCGCAGCTCGCAATTCCTCATATTACGTTTGTCGAATAATTCCTTCTTTGTTTACCGTTTGAATGCAATTTTCTCGATTTAAGCTCATTGCTGGTGAAACAGCGACCGAAAAGCACTATCCATCTCCGACGATGGACACGTATGTCACAGATGTTACGGAAGTTATTTTCGACTCGTAGCAATGTGCTATTTAAATCTTTTGTAATTCGTTCGTATCACACTTTTAAATTACGTTCAACAAGCTTCATAGATTTGATATATTCTTCATAGATAATATTTGACATATTCTCATTTTTTACACGAAAAAAAAACGATTTTTCTGAAATTTTACTGGATGCGAATCTAAAAATAAATTTGTTACATCATCAAAATAATTATGTCAAAAACACTAAAAAATGGTGAACAATACTGCAAAAAAACAACCAATTTCCAAAATTATTTTCAGATTTATATCCAACAAAATTTTAGATTTTTCAGCATAATCGTTTTTTCA